GGGCTGCAATGTCGCACTACATCAATCAACATCTTAAAGAAACTGAACAATAAAATGGAATGCATTCTGTGTTCAACTTACATCATTTTGCTGTTTTCTTACATGCAATGGTAAATATACCTGGGTAAAGTATATTTTACCCCTCTGACCTGTATTTCATTCTCTGACAGCTTAATATGATTTTGTAGAGAACTTAAAAACAAATTCTAGTATAAAGTCTTCATCTCTGTCCTCTCACTAAATACCCTATAACTATGGTTATAAACAATTACTGATAGCTATACAAGCAGATATGTGTTACTCAGGAAGTCACCCCATCATAAACACATAAATTAACTGTTTGCACCCCAAATAAATAGTTTCAATGTGCTAAAGGTGCAAAGCAAAATATAATTTTGTCTTCATGTATTTTAAATGAGGGTCTCATTTTGACTAATAAAGATATTTTCTCTGATCAAATTTGACAAATATCCATCATTTGGGCTTGTATATGGTGTAGGAGTATATATATGCTGATATCATTTAATATCATTCCCAAAAAATATTATATATGTGTATACTTGGTGGAAATTTTTTATTTTTTAATTGTTTTTTTAAATTTCATTTAAATTTTTAAAATTAAAATTATTTTTTTAAATTTCATTTTTATATTTTTAAGGCCAATATACATAACATATTAAAATTTCATGTATATGTCATTAATAATAAAAAATTTATATCAGTTTCAAGTTTTTACTGACAGGCCATAGTACACAATTAATGTTACTATATGGTGGTCTCTACATTTGTTTCTCAGTACTGAACTTTCCACTGTGTGACAACCAATACAAATCATATGTTAATCTAAACTACCATCAAAGATGACTTTACGGTTTAGTTCTTTTCAAGGGTTGACCTGCATTTTTTTGAGAGGCTGAATTGTAAACAAAACACCAGGCAACGGAACACAGATTTCACTTCCGGATCATCACCATGACCTTATTACTCAATGTGCGCTGTCGCCGAAATACACACAGACAACCACACCATAAGCTCACATTTTAAAGAATAATCAATTGCCTTTAAATCCTTACCAAGAATGCCAAAATCTAACTCTAGTATCACCACCAAATTTAGACCGGAAAAAGTGATCTAAAAATAGACTGGGACTACATTCGTGGGTACTGAACCGGATTTTATTAATTGTGTACTGATTCCATATGACTCGGTCCCTTAGATCAAGCATGATCTGGACATGGACTGATATAAAAAGAGTGAAGTGTCAACATTATTGAACACATATATCGCATTCAGATTTGTATTAATGCGATCAATTTGAAAGCGAATATGTATAACTAACCATGTGGTTCTTTGCATTCGCACGTGTCCATACTATTAACTAAATAAAACCTTTTAAGAAAGGATGGAACATTGTGTGTGATTTAAGGGCCTTTCACCACCACGCTCCAACATATTTCTGTTTACATCAAATTTGCATTACATGATTAAAAGTGGTTATACTCGCACAAAAAAAAGAACAAAAAAATTATCAAGTGTAAAGAAGAAATAATAATTTAATTACTCGAAAAAGACGTACAGAACGCAGTTACTACCCCTTAGCAACGATTTTCCACCTATAGAGGACGCCAGCCGGAAATGACGTACATTTATCCCAACAAGGCGAAGTACATGCTTCTTGTTGTGGAAAAATAAAACATTATAAACCATGGATAGGGAATATTTAGATAAAATTACTGAAAAATAATTTACTGTTCAGCCTTATCACGTTATGCGTTCGAGAAGTAAGTTAGATTGTGTCGCTTTCAAAACTGCATTGTTTTGTTTTTATGAAAATTCCCGTTAATACAGGTAAAAAGTAATATAAGTTGGCTTGTCTATATAAAGGAACCAAACTTGACTTTCTTATATCGACCGACATCATAAGAAAACTCGGCACCCTTAAAAGATACCAAAGTCAGTTTTCGGCGTTGTTTGCTTGGTAATAAAATAACCTTTGTATCTGATATCCTGTCGGAAAGTTTAATGCTCGCTCCAAGCTGTGTTTATCCGGGCTTCCATTTGTTTCACGGAGGTGATCATAATTTATGCTTGCCGCGCAAATAGAATACACCACAATAACGTGCTTTAATAACACTTTTCTAACCCTTGCTAGCGAAAAGATTAATTATCATTTGCACTCACAGTGAATGTATTTTAAAATAATGATTTTATTTGCACCTTGGAACGTCATGCGTAAATGGCAGGTGCCTTCAAGCAATTGTGTGAAATTTTCCATTCTTTTGTGATTTCGTTATTTGACATAAGCGATACACACTACAGTAAGGACACATATGCAAACATGAATCTACTAAAATCACGGAGATCGTGGGTATAATTTTTAAACAAATTTCGCATGATGAAAAAAAGAAGGAATAAATAATAAAAATGCAGGGTTAGTTTATTTCATTTTATTTTCAAATAAGCGTATGTTTATAATGTTTGTACCTTGCAAGGGGGTGGAGTGTGGCACAAATTTGACTCAAGATTAATTCCTTTATTATTTGTATGTAATAATGGATCAAATATGATTGACAATATTGACTAGTAACGATAAGCTATTAATTTACGCGCACACATACTAACAAACAATAAAATTAACTGGTAAGAGCTTAAAGTTGCAGCAACATTGACAAAATCCTCAACATTATTCTCTCTCTCTCTCTCTCTCTCTCTCTCTCTCTCTCTCTCTCTCTCTCTCTCTCTCTCTCTCTCTCTCTCTCTCTCGTGTAATTGGGTGTGTATTATATGCAGCAGTATTACAACTTGAAACCTAAAATTAAATATATTTGTTTTAATATCTCGCGTTCACTACCATTCGAAAAATGTGTGTGTGAGTATATATATATATATATATATATATATATATATATATATATATATATATATATATATATATATATATATATATATATATATATATATATATATATATATATATATATATATGTATGTATGTATGTATGTATGTATGTATGTATGTATGTATGTATGTATGTATGTATGTATGTATATATATATATATATATATATATATATATATATATATATATATATATATATATATATATATTCTTTAGAATATTATCTAAGTTTTATTGTTTAATAAATAAATATAATATTGATAATTTGACCGTGAGTCTTGAATTGAGAATGTCTTTGTTCAGATGCATATATTTTTGGCATAAAAAATGTTTACAAACATTTTAATTATAACTAGCAAGACATGTCTGATTGTGTTTTCTCCCTTATGTATGTGCGTTGCAACGTATGATCATTTCTTTTAAAAAATATTAATTTCGTTTAAATTTAATATTTTTTTCTAAAACTTATCCATAAAACGTATCTTACATATATTTGTTATTTTAAGAAAAAGAAATTGTTCAGACAATTGTTAAGTTAAGCCTAATTTTCGTTCGAGTTTGGCACGCGGAAAATACCGATTGTTTACGGAGATTGCCGAATTGTCTTGGGCCAAATTGACTGTAACACGGCATTAATGATACAAGTTTCCCATCGTCTCACCTTATTTTATCTCACAGCTTGAACTCACTTTTTCTGGTAAACAGGATCTTTCTAAAAAAGAAAGAATCCTTTTTCCCATCTTCACTCTTTTGGTTACATCCATATGCAACTCAGTGCATCATATTTGCTGTACAAAAGCACGATCATAATATATATAACATAGGCATTTACTTTGGGAAATTAAACACTTGAATGGCTAGGTTGAATAGAATGGATAAATGTATGTTATATCCGTGTTTGGCACGCGGAAAATACCGATTGTTTACGGAGATTGCCGAATATTTTTTTCATTTATAAAAGTGGATTTTTAAGTCTACTTAAGCATTTATATGGTGTGCATGCATAACAAATGCGCTTTGTTTATGACCATAATAATATCACATGTTTGTACAATATAGGTGGCCGGTGACCATTATATACCAAACTTTTGACAATGTTACTGATACGAATATTTGGGAATAGTCCCCAGTTTTAACCTGGCGTGTCTGCCATTTTAAAAAACATATCGTTTACTTGTGTAAGTCAATGACTAGACATAAAGAAAAACATTTGTTCTAAACATTCGATTTTAAAATGAGCTGCAGCTGACAATGGTTTTATCTTACCTGATTCGTCTAGAATAATATAAATATTTTTTTTTTAAAATTCTCAACAAACGTGTATTTTTTTGGTTAAAATTATGTAAACATATTTGACGCCACTTAAATTACTAGATTCATTTATATACGCCGCATTCAGTTAACACACCTGCATTAGAGATAAAATCTTCTGCAGCTGTTTAAAATTAGTGTTGCAGAAATCAGTGTGAGAATAAAACCCTCAGAAAAATAAAAACAACGTCAAAATAAAACATGTTGATTTTGAGTTTGTTAAGCACAAGGCCTGAAACCATTCCAAACATTTTACTTATTTATTTCACCCTATTGACAGTTTATATATATATACACAAAAAACCGCAAAGATATCGTGGGAAAAGAACTGAGGATTGACCTTTAAATCTATTAATCGCATTCAAATTTTTTTCTCGCGCGTCGGGCGTAACCATTTCCCGCGAAAATGAAATATTACTATCCAAAGTTTCAATAATGTGTTCATGCCTGTATGAGTGTTTAAATTCTAAACACACAGGTAAATAAAAGTCATCGCTTATCGCATTGCCCCATATTATCTAACATAATTATATTTTACAGAAATGAATGCGCGTTTCTTTGTATGAAGTCAGTTTATTAACAATCTAATGTATAAAAAATTCATAGTTAACATTGTAATTTATGCTAAAGAAACCGCTAATTGTAAAGCGTTTTCACGCAAAATTTCACGTTTGGAAACCGTGTCTGTCACATCAGATACTAATACAATATCGATTAGAGTTTTTGTCGAAGGCTTAGTGTTTACACAGCAATAATTTATTGGATTATAGAAATTGATTAACGTCAACCGCTTCGGTAGCCTAGTGGTTAGGGCGTACGCCTCTGATGCGGGAAGTCGTGGGCTCGATCCCCGGCCGAGTCGTACCAAAGACTTAAAAGAATGGCACGCTTTACGCTCAGCATTAAAAGTGTAGTGTTATGACTGGTTGGCCTAGTTTCGGGATAATGTTACTGGTTAGGACATCGTGCTACATGTCTGCGGCATGATGCCCCAGGTCTAGACATCGCTATAAACTGCCACACCGCAGACGTCGTAGCGACAAGAATGAAAAATTGTTAATGCTACGTTAAAAATCCAAACCACACACACACACACACACACACACACTCTCTCTCTCTCTCTCTCACACACACACACACACACACACACACACACACACACACACACACACACACACATCAGGCAAAAATCCATTTCCGAATACTAGCTACACTGTTATTCTTTGTCTGTAGACATTCATTGCACAGAATGTTTATCCGCAAACACGATCGACGTAGACAATTCTTTCTAATTTGCATTACATATACAAATATTGGCATAATATATCCATCAGTCTTATCATTTTATATCTTACACAATCTTAATACTCATGATACTACGGCCAATTGGGGATAATCGACTGCCGTTAAAAGTAAATTAGCCGCCAATAAGCAGATGTAGGAGGGTCCGACTTGATCCATATACGTCATCAGGAAAAGGTTAGAATATTGGGCAATTTTATTTTCGGTTAACGAAAGTCATTTAGTACGCGTCTTCAAAAGATAAAGTGGCAAAGACAATTGTCGATTTTTTTTACTTTCGTCTTGGGGGAAATCTCAGACCATTAATCGAAACCATGCGAAACATGCGTGACCTGAAATTTGGATGTAGAATAATTGAGACCGTAAAATAAAGAAGAATTTAAAACTCGTGTCGTGACATTGCTTACTGGTCTGTAGCCTCATATAAAAGGCTTACAATTTAGTCCATACGATATGTATGAGAAAGCACGCTCAACTCAGTTTCGAAAACAATGTTTGACATGTGTTACGTTAATCAGAATGTGTAAAATTATACTAGTAGATGTTGTTAAAGCAGCAGATTCGAGATTTCAAGCAAGGGAATGAGATCGAAACGTGATTAAAATTTTTCATATATTAGTAATAGTAGTTTAGTAATATAGTAGCTTATATTATTGGACACTTGATATGTGGCATCATCGTCTATAAAGAAAACGTATCGTTGAAGTTGGATTATATTTCTTTTTCTGTTTTTGCATTAAGATTACGAGATAATATTCCCGTGTACTGCGTTACAAAGTTGATCCTTTGTAGATGTATAAGTTATTTCACGAGACAGTCACGAAACCTTTCGAACAACTGCAAATATTTCACGGTGGCAAGAATATAACGACTTCTTTATATTAACATCTACGCAAGCAATATCGGGTTTTCAGTAAACCATCTAAATGCACGAATAATACGCGTGACCCTAATTCAAAGAGTCTGAATTGAGCTAATTAAATTATCCTACCTATGAGGCGCCATAATGGACAAAAGCTGGTCCAGTGAGAAACAGTTGCATTTTAAATTTCAATGTCATACGTCGAGAAATGTAATATCACGTGTTCGATCAAATTGCATGTGCTTAGGTTACATTTTCTAGATCGAGTTTTTAGATTTATATGTTGAATCACACAGCGATTGTTTTAAAGTTCTATTTTGACGTTTTAGAGCGTATATTTTGAATTAGACAGCGGTGGTTGAAATTTCAAGATCATATGTTTAGAATTCTTAATTCACTCGTTGTATGCAACTGTTTGTGATAAAAGTTCCATTTCATATGACAAGAATTTATAGTTCGTCTGTTGACTTTCACAGCAACGAGAGGCAGCCTCCGTATTTAAAAATAACGCTTTCCGCTCACGAGAGCGACCTCTAGCGAAGAAATTCATAAAAATCTCGACTTGTGAATCGCAACTTTTTTAAACTGTAAATGCATTAAATATAATGGCGATTCATAATGGAATACATGAATGATGTATCTTAATACTCGATATTATTTTGAATTGTTAAAGTGGACATTGTGTGATGTTACCTTTAACACCAACACATGATTTCACCATATAAAATAAGCGATTCTGACAAGTACAATAAAATGTCAGATCGCCACTAATGTTTTATTCAAGAGCTACAATTTAAACTCTCAGCCTGGAAAATGGAACTTTAAGGACAAACATATTTGATACAACATCTGAAATTGGAATTTGGACATACGACATTGAAATTTCAACGGCAATGCTCAGACTGGATCAGCTTTTGTCCTCTACGGAGCCCGATACCTCACACAAAGTTAGGTATCACTTGGATAAAATGACACAGTGCCCCCTTTTATGACGCACTTGTCCTACTTTGAAATCCAGCGATACCAGCCATATTCTGCTCTCGATTCACTAAACATATACTTTAATTATTACCATTGGTGTATTTTATACCACTTTATTGCAGACCATGTATACTTCAGTGAATGTTCGAAAATGAGCGGCGCCATTTGTTTTATTTTAGCAGCGCCCATTTAAAAATAGGTAAAGGCTGAATTAGCTATTCTTAAGTGTATTTTGGGTTAATGAAGTAAAAAAAGGAAGTAATGATAATATAATTTCGTAAATATCATGATAGAACAAAACTAAGTTTTGTAATAAGTTTGTGCTTACGAGTATTCTTTTCTAGTTTGTACGTGCACGAGTTTCACGTCCTTTTTCCTTGTTCCTCTTTTACCTCAAGGATTATACCTATCAATCATAAGAGTAATCATTCCGTGTTTCACTAAATGAGGTCATAAAAAACACTATCACGTTCAGATCGCTTGCCATAATCTTTATATGCAATCTTAAATTTTATAGTGCCACTTCAAACCTTTTATCCAAACCACAATAACGTTAAAAGCTTACAAAATCAATTATTTGCTGTCCCCAAAATTATGTATGAATTGGTTCGCAATGCTGATCTTTTATCTTATATTTCAATTTTAAGTCATTTAATTGACAAAGGAGTGATGATTGTCTTACAAACAGAATCTGCCAGCAACTCAGTTATCATTGTCACTCTAGCTATATTTCCCGATGTTTATTTTTATTTTTGCAATGTAAATTTATTAATATTGTTTTAAATATGTCACTTCAATTAAGTTTTTACTTTCATAACACCGATATTTATATTATTTCTTTCAAGACGGTTTTGTTTTGAAATTGTAAGGAATAAATCCATACAATTAAGCGAAACAGCAACTGACATGGATATATATATATATATATATATATATATATATATATATATATATATATATATATATATATATATATATATATATATATATAGTGAAATACAAATCAGTTTTATTTATTCCATTATGAATGAACACCGTTGATTTTTTTTTCTTTTTATACTTCTAGTTAAGGGTCTTTCTTTGTATGTCTTTCAACATGGCTTTTATTCTTAAGCTATATTGGCAAAACAAAAGTTTTGGTTCGAGTATCCACAAAATAGAACTCTTTTCTACTTACTGTCAAATTAAATAAAGCCGCATCACCGAATGCAAACAATCCTCTCGCTCGAGCATAGTTTAAATCATATTTACATTTAATTTTGTGTTGTCCTTTGTATGTGAGAACGACTGGTTTAGTTTTTGTAATAATAGAAGTTGATGTAAACTATATGGATTTCTGTCATCGAAGCGGTTAAGAATTTGGGGAATAGCTACTTGCGAATCATGCAGGATTATATGCTCGAGGCTTTAAATAATTATATGACGATTACAATTTACGCCACAAAAGGTAACTACTACCTTTAATGTAATTGCTTGGATTTACCTCCCAAATCAAATAATTGAAAACAGTTTGATGCATAATAAAAAAATATCTTTAATTTATATTTGTTTGCTAGGAGTGAAGGGGTTGGTTACTTGGTGATGGGGCATTGGAGCAGTTTTATTAAAACTGACAAAGTGACATCGTCGCTACCATTCACTGTTGTTTCCAGTAATAGAAATCGGTCAAATTCTTTGTCTAGCTTCTGAACTAGAAACTTGGGCATTCAGATGACGTGTGTAGAACCCATCAGGATAATTAATGTTGTATAAACATCTGAAGTGTGAATAGAAGATGAAGAATAAATTTATATGGCATAAAATCACTACAACACGATCAGGCTTCTTACAGCAAATAAAGAGGGGGCAATTTTAATGAGTTCGAATCAATATTTTAGCTGGCATTCCTATTCTGAATGTAGAAAGGTGCAATGTGCATCTGAATGACGTCATCGACGAGCAAAACGAACCTTCAAGTGATAAAATTAGCATGATGGAATAAACTCAATCATTCAGTAGCGTCCAAAAGCCTGATTACGCGTCATCTAAACTAAGCACCGGGTTGCGAATTCAATCATGAAATTATTAAGAAACTTGAAATGATCATTTTCTGATACACAACTCAATTTAAATTTTCCGTCTTTTAGCGTGACTAATCATTTCAACGATTTGAAAAACTTTGCCTATTCACTTTACACCATTGATACAAGTTGATATTTTAATTGCATGAAACAGATTGAAGTTTTTCTCAACTACATCTGTGATTAAAAGAACAACAATTAATTATGTTCGATGTGCTATCGTCACACACACACACACACACACACACACACATATATATATATATATATATATATATATATATATATATATATATATATATATATATATATATGCGCCTTTACACAAGATACAGACACTGTTATGCCATGGTTGGGGACTTTGACCTAACGTTTGCGATAAGTTAATATAAATTGAACTAAACATACATACATACATTCATACATACATACATACATACATACATACATACATACATACATACATACATACATACATACATACATACATACATACATACATACATACATACATACATACATACATACATACATACATACATGTGCGTAACTATACATATGAAATTAATTTTTCTCAATCAACTTTGTGTAGAATTTACAATAATATCAAGATTCGTTCGTATTCTTTTCTTGCAACAGTAAATTTATATGCCTAAA